ATTTACAAATTCTTTGAAAAAGAAAACACCAGCGCGTACCAAACACTAATTGACTTCATTGACAAAACTGATGTAAAGCTATAAACAGCACTCCAACATCTTCTATTCTTTGACTTGGCAATTTCCACCTTCAAAAGGCGAGCGGCCAAATAATCCCACGCTACTCACGGGTAGTTTGGTAACTTAAATCCCAAAAAAAAAAAAAAAAAAAAAAAAAAGTAAAGTGATTGTTTTAGTTTCGAACTCAGTGTGTCTCAGAGACTAAACGATAATCAGCAATGAGCGGGATGTATCAAATAGACAAATTAGAGGAGGGAAATTATGACTCCTGGTGTATTTAAATGCGGTCTGTGTTGGTGCAGGCTGAATTGTGGAGTGTGGCATCTGGTGACCTGCTACCAACGAATGTTCCCGAAGGTGTGAATTGGCAGGCCAAGGATGAAAAGGCGCTGGCCATGATCACATTGAGTGCGAAAACTTCACAGTTGGAATACATTGAAAATTGCAGTAAGTCGTCCGAAGCATGGAACAAATTAAAAAGTGTTCATCAACCAAGTGGACCTGTACGTAAGGTACAACTGTACAAGAAATTGCTAAGCAAGCGCATGGACCAAAGGCAAAGCATTTCAAGCTACATTAATGAGTTCGTGGATATTCTTGATGGCCTTGGGTCAGTAGGAATCGAGCTAAATGATGAACTACGCTCAATTGTTTTGTTGTCAAGCCATCCAGAACAATTCGAAAATTTCGTTGTCGCCTAGAGACGCGCGACAGTCTGCCGACTTTCGATGTTCTATGCGTAAAATTGAAGGAAGAAGGCGAACGAAAGGGAAACACAGAAGATCAAAAGGAATACGCAAAGGCATATACCGCAGTACATAAGCCGGCCGCGCACAGAGCGCAAAAGAAGAGAAACAATACAATGATATGTTTCAAGTGTGGTGAGCGCGGGCATATGAAGGCTCAGTGTAAGAAGGAGAGCGCAAATATGGAAAGGGCAGTAAGAGTGGAGAACAAGCAGTGCAGTTTATTAAATGCGTTGGACGCAGATAATTTGAAAAAGAGTATGTGGTGTTTGGATAGTGGTGCCACAAGCTACATCTGTTGTGGGAAACAGTTATTCACAAAGTTCGAGAAACACACAGAAATGATTGGTCTGGCTGACTCCGGTTTCCTAAAAACTGAAAGAAAAGGGGAAGTAGAGCTGAAGACAGAGATATGCACGCTGCTGTTAAAGAATGTTCTTTATGTGCCCGAAATGAATGGAAATTATTTCTCGGTGAGCAGCGCTGTACAGAATAAATGTTTCGTCACTTTTGGACAAGAATATGCACAAGTTATCCAAAATGGCGAATGCATTGTAAAGGCGAACAGAGTTGGAAACTTGTATATGCTTCGAGGAAAACAATAGAACTGTTTTGCGGCGGTTAATGCTGATGGTGCCCTGTGGCATAAACGGTACGGCCACTTGAACGTCAGCAGTATGAAAGATTTGATCAGCAAAGGAATGGTGCGCGGCATTGAAAATATGGTTTTCCCGGCGAATATGAATTGCAAAACACGTATGGTCAGCAAGATTCATGCGCAACCATTTCCTGTTGCAACCACCAGTAGAACTCAAGATATATTGAACTATGTAGTTCATGCAGATGTGTGCGGGCCCTTTGGCACACAGTCGCTTGCTGGATCAAAGTATTTTCTAAACTTCATCGATGACAAATCAAGGCGTATATTTGTGTTTTTCCTGCACGGCAAAAAGTCTCAAATGTATCCGGAGCGAAAATGGCGGTGAATTTGTCAACAAATCGTTTGATGAATTTCTGAAAACTAATGGGATCGAGAGGCAGCTGACAGTGGCGTACACGCAAAAACGGCGTTGCTGAGAGGGCAAACCGCACTCTGGTGGAAATGTAAAGATGTATGCTGGTCCAGTCAGGATTAGGCGAATCGTTGTGGGCTGAGGCAGTCAACGCAGTTGTGTATGTACGGAATCGATCACCGACCAAGGCGCTGACCAGTATGACGCCTATGGAAGCGTGGACTGGTAAGAAACCTTTTGTTGGTCATCTAAAAGTTTTTGGCTCCGTTGCAGTAGCTTTGGACAAGGGTCCAAGGAAGAGTAAACTTCAACCAAAAGGCAAAGAATATCGCATGATTGGATATTCAGTAGCGGCTAAGGCTATCGACTGTATGACCCTGTGTCTCATCAGGTGATTGAGAGGCGAGATTTTCTCTTTGACGAGGTCGAAGACGACAAGGATACAGTCACATTCGAGCTTCCGAAGGCAGAAGTTAGCATGCAGTCTGGCGGCGATACGGATGACATTGACAGCAGCGGTGGCGACAGTAGCGATGGTGCAAGCGTTGACGGGGAGAATCCCAGTAGCAGCGGTACTGATGGGTAAGAGAGCGCAACAGAAAAGGTTGAATCAGCTGGCAGACCAAGGCTGATTTGGACCGGCAAACCTGGCCGTCCGAGAAAGGAGTACAACAGTACAAACGCGACAAAGATGGTCAAATCGAACGTTTCAAGGCGCGGCTGGTGGCAAAAGGTTGCACCCAGCAGTACGGCATAAACTATGCGCAAACATTTTCTCCAGTCTGCAGACTGGAGAGCGTGCGATTTATTCTTGCGCTAGCAGCAGAATTGAAATTATATGTCAACCAAATGGATGTATGTACGGCATACCTCAACAGTGACCTGAGCGATACGGTGTACATGAAGCAACCACAAGGGTACATTGATCGAGCTTATCCAGCGAAGGCTATGCTGCTTAAAAAGGCAATATATGGATTGAAGCAGTCAGGAAGGGAATGGATTTCGAAGCTGAATGGCATCCTGACTAATCTGGGTTTTGTTTTCTGTGACAACGAGCCGTGTCTCTACCAGCAGAGAGGGAAAGGTAGCTTATCGTTAATCTTGGTATATGTTGACGATTTACTTATAGCATGCCAGTCCAAAGAGGACATGCTCAGTATCAAATCGGCTATTTCAAACGCGTTCGAATGTATCGACAAAGGTGTTCCAGAGCTATTTTTAAGCATGGAGGTGCACCGTGAAGGTGAGCTTGGGCCTATCACCATAGGCCGCTCACAATACATCAAGGAAATATTGCAAGCTCACGACATGGACAAATGTAGACCAGTGGCTACTCCGTTGGATGCGGGGTTCTAGGTGGATTGTACTAATGAGCAGTGTCAAAAGGTTGATCCTGTCATGTATCAATCCAACCAGACCGGACATTTTGCATTCAGTTGCAAAGTTGGCCCAGAGGAACAAAGATCTGCACGCAGAGCATCTGGCTGTTGTGAAGCACGTTCTGAGGTACTTGGCAGCGACGATGAACTTCAAACTACACTACAAAGGGTGTCACCAGCCACTTACTGGATATGTGGAGGCGGATTGGGGCGGCGATCGAACTAACCGGAAGTCGTATACGGGCTATGTTTTTTTTTGGCAGGTGGCCCAATTTCTTGGCGATCTGAGAAACAACGCAGCGTGGCACTTAGCAGCACCGAGGCAGAATACATGGCACTGTCGGCCGCGTGTAAGGAGTCTATATTCTTACGTCGCTTAATCATCGAAATTGGCTGTGGAGATGAAGCTATCTCAACTACCTTATATGGCGATAATCTGAGCGCACAAGAGCTGGCTAGGAACCCAGTTCATCACTCAAGGACCAAGCATATTGGTATTAGATATCACTTTGTACGACAGATTGTAGAAGAAGGTCAAGTTAAGTTAAAATATGCTAATACAACAGATATGATTGCAGATATCTTGACCAAGACCAAAAGCATGTCGAATTTACAAAATTGTTAAGTTTAAATTGAGTTAAATGGAATTTGTAAGCATGCACGCATTGAGGAAGGATGTTGAAGAATGAACATCTCTATCAATGCATTGACAGAAATATGAATATGTATGAGTGAGAGACGTAAGGAAACGACGTTCTCTTATCTCCCTTTTTGTTTTCCCTTTTTTCGGTATCTATCTGCCTGCGAGAAGAGCATTTTTTTAGTCACAAATAAACCTTACATATGAATGGTTGCGTTTTTACTTTTCGGTACAAGAAACTTCCCTTGCAACGGCAGCGAAATTCTGTCCAACAAGCATAACCTGAGCTCCATTTCGCTAATTAATTTTTGGTTGATTTCACTATATTTTTATAGCTCGGCGGAGTGATATAATAACACGTCTGATGTTGTTTTCTTTAATATTCTCCAGGAAGATGAAAACATATTTTTAAATGTTATAATGTTAAATGTCAGCCTCTTTTGGTATCGAAAATCTTTGGCACTAGGTGGGATTAGGTGGGGGATTTAGTGCTGTTAAGCGCCTAATTTGGTGTATTGCGCGCTTAAAATACTGTATAGATAACCGAATCGAGCTACGGCGGCTAATCTGTTAGTACGAAAACGCAGTTTTGTTGCACTGACCACTTATTTCAGAACCAAATTTTAGAATTAATTAAAAAAAAAAGAGCACAATTTGTTCAAAATTAAAAACGGACGCCAGCTTGATAATAACATTTATTTGTTAATAAAAAGGTAAAATGTTACCTACAAAGAATTTAAATACTCATGCTATATTGACATTTTATACATAATATTTTCCGCACGTACATTTTCGATGAATCGCATTCCATTGAGGTTATTTTTTTGTTTCTTAAGCAAGAGAGACGGTGCTTGCATCATGAGATAAGCTGGTGTTGCAGAGCTTGCATATAAAAATCCTATGTATAGTTTACATTTCCATATATTTATTTAAATATATATAACTACAAAAAACTTTGTAATCACTGTTAAAATGTATTTGTCTAAGACGCTTCTTATGTAAATCTAATGTAATCTAAAGCATTAATGATATCCATGCTAATATAGATTTTTCTATTAACTTAATGCAATAATAAAATAAATAAAATAATCACAATCTTCGGGCCCCGAAGCGAGCATTTCTTTGTAATATATTGCTAATATATTATATATATTTTTTTCAGTATGCTCATAAGTTGGCGTACCTAATTGGACAAAGTATTCAGCGTAATGTTGCAGATTCCTTATCGAAGAAACTGTTTTATTTATAAACGTTAAAAAAAATTGTTTAAATTATGTCATGTGGCTGACATTTCGTACAATAAATCATAAAATATATTTGACTTTTTTTATAGCCGGTACTAGAAATGCTTTGATGAAAGAGGATGTGTGTAATACATCAGGAAGCGTTTCTGACAACAAAGTATATATATTCTTGATCAGCATCAATAGCCGAGTCAATATAGTCATAACTGTCTGTTCTTCCGTCCGTCGTTCTGTCCGCCCGTCTTCATGGGCGCATAGATCTAAGAGATTAAGATCTACAGCAATATATGTATTTGCATCCAGACTCTTCTGATATCATACTGAATTAAGTCTTTTTCAAAATTATGCACCTCCCTCTTACGCCTCTTTAGATCAAAACTGGATGAAAAAAAGCCAGAGAACAATGTTGGTGATGCAGTACATAGTACCCAACGAGTATCAGCGCGCACAAAGAAAGGGAACTACTGCGTCTAAGAAGAAAAAACCATCTGTCTCGGTGATCAGCGATAGTGAGACTAAGTAGGAACAGGAGCATAAGAAAGTCGCGTATGATAGAAAAGACGACGGAGATAACGATACCAACTTGTCACAAGAAGAAAAAGCTAATCTGAGACCGAATGGTGCTTACTAGCGAATGTTCATAAAAGCTAATACACTTCTAAATTGGGTAAAATTTAAATAAATGACAACAGTACTGTTTCATATTGGAACAATCAGCCACGCTCGGTTTTTCACCTTCACAAAACTTTCCCGATTTACTTTTGAATCCACATAAATTGGGGCTCCAGTTTTCATATTCCGCAAGGTGTATTCGTTTTCAAAACGAAAACATTCTCGTTGACGAAATGAAAAGTAAACGGCTTTTTATAGAACGAAACGAACATTAATTGCAAAATGAAACAAATATATGACTTATTGATGCATTAACATAAACTTGACACCTATATCAGGGTATTTATTCTTAACTTTTGCTGTCTTTATAAACTATTTTATTTTAACCCAACCTCAAATTTGTCTCGGAAAAAATCGGACAGGGCAAGAACAACAACACCTTACAACGAAATGTTTTGACTAAAAAACTAATCCGCAAATGTAAGTGTAAAACGGAGCCTCCATGAATAAAAAACTCTCGTTAAGCAAAATACATTGCACAGATTTTTTTCAACCAGGGAATTTTCAAATTAGTAAATCTACATTGCTAATACCAGTTTCAAAAGAAGATGTAGCCATAACATCTCTTGAAAAGTGGAAGCTGGTTACAAATTTTAAATTACGTCGTTGAAATAACCTGACCAGCATCAGTTTAAAGAATCTGCTGTACTTCTGTTCGGGAAAGACAGTCGCCATAACCCTAGCAGACCCCCGAAATAATGTTTTAGATATCAACAAAATCAGGCACAAAAGCACACCGCGATAGTCAGCATCAATAGCCGACTCGACTGAGCCATGTCTGTCCGTCGGTCCGTCTGTCTGTCAGAGCAACGACATGTTGTATCCAAACTTCAATGATATGTCACTGTTACAAGTGTATTTCGAAACTTCGCCCCGCCTCTTCCCGAACCCACAAAGGACAGAAATCTGTTGCATCTCCAACTTTAAAGATATGAGAAAACCAAAAGCGCAGAATCGTAGAGAATAACTATATCTCGTCTCGCGTCTCGACTCCTACTACATAAACTTTAAAATTTTAGAATCCCGTGACTTTACAGGGAGCTAACTCCGAAAACAACAATTTGCCTATTCCGAGCATAACCGAAATGAAATGGCACAATACATAGGGCGTACTCGAAAAAAGTACTAGGGGCTTGGTCGGGGTGTTCCAAAAAATATCGCGGGCGTGAGGTCTTGAGATGGAAGTCGACCCACCCGATTCTGTACCCACCCTTCCATGATTTCCAGTTGTGCGAAAGGTTCTGGAAATCCCTAATAATATATTAGAAGTCTACTCCATATTCATGGCTGACAAAATTCAATATATTTCTCTGAACTTAATACTAGACATGTGGCTACATCATCAAAACCGAGCGAACAAGAGTTTCACTACCGGAAAGAACACAAGTCTTTAATTACAACTAGTAGGCAAATCAAGAAAAAAAAATTTAGTGGAAATGGAAAAATATGAGGCTTAATCCTAAAGGAGGTATAGAAAAGTTTTAGATATTTATAGAGGTATGTATATATAAACGAGAGGGTATATGAATATAATATATGATATTAGAAATAAGGTAATTAAATATGTATCAAGAAAAACGAAAAAATAAAAAAAATTATAAAAAGCCGCGGGGGTCAGACCAGCGATCCGCCATGGTGAGCCAAAACGCAATTTAATTAAAAAAAAAACATTTATGTGGATGTTGGTTTAAGGAGATTAAAAAAAAATTTATTTTTTTTTGTTTTTTAGTGTATTTGTCGACTACGTTTTAATGCATTAAAAAAATGCAAAGAAAGCGAGCACTGCAAGCTTAAAGCAGAATTGGCAACGACGAGAACGCAAAGCTTCGAGCGTGGGGAACGCAAGCGTTGCGCTCTCTTATCAGCAGCGGCTGGCCGCTGCGTATGCCTTTTACGATTTTAGGAGTTCAGGCGCAAAAGAGAACAAGGAAATTGGGTCACTTACAGCTTCAATTACAGCTTCAATGGTCCCTCGCTTAAAGGCGCCTTTCGTGGAAACAAGGTTAATGTGTGCCCTGGTCGGAGGGGGATTGGTAAATGAGGGGGGTGATCGCTATGATTAAGTTTTTCGTTCTCCAACCAACACAATAAATTTAGTTTTGGGAACTTTCACTTCACGGCTATCGAGGTATGACTGTGACGCAGCGTTAATGAAACTTACATAGGCATATAAGGGTTCAGAAGGAACCAAAGAAAATGACAATTAAAGCTACACTATGCTACAAAATCTGGGTCCGGATCCGTAGCGGCTCCTTTTAGGCCGTCGCAAAAAGCGAGTTAGCGGCGCCTCCGGGGAGGGGGGGTGATCTCTATGCCCTCTATGCCCTCTATGCGCGTCCGTGCGGGATGGCGCGAGGATTATGGCCGGTGGAGGTTATGTAGCCGGGCAGGTAGACTTTCCCACGCTTTCCAAAGGAGGAAAAAACAATCTCGGCCCCACACCAAGGTAGACTCGCGAAGAGTACTCCCGTCAAGGGTGGGAGTTTGGTGTGGGGGGCAGAACTTTGTGAGAGCTGGGTGGGCTACCGATCGTGGCCAGGGCTCTATGGGCGAAACAGAACAAAACCACGAGGGCTAAGAAAAAATATAATTTTTCCCTACAGCGCACTTTAACATACCGGATTTTCCGACTTTTCCACGGAGACACGAGTGTTGTTTGCTCCTGGCAGAGCTGGGGGATGCACGGGTCGGCGACAAAACAAACTCTTGGTGGCGAGGCGAGGCACATATGCACTGTACACCAGGGTAGGTGTCTCGCCAGTTTTCTCGGCGATTTAAATTTAAATTTAGCCCGATTTTGGCGCGCGCACACCGAGTGCGATTTTCACCGTTTAGTTTTATTCGGTTTCGGTTGGTATTTGTGGGAAGTTGATTGGTCGATTTATATCTATATTTGCTACCGACGCGGAGATAATCACCAGCTGCACAGATTCAAATAGAAGCTTACCGATCTTAATGATCGGCGTCGAAAGCTCCGTTGCGATGCGCTGCACAGCACTTACGGAAGCTTAGCTCAGCTGTTCCCTACTTCGAGTTTGCCTGCACCCACCCCAACTATGCTATGCCCTGCAGCGATAATTGGCCCAAGGTTATTGCATGCGATATACCCGAGCACCATAGCGATAACGTACCCTGGATCGGTACTGCCCAACCGCAACCGTTACACAGAATCTGAAATTAATCGTATCAATATTATAGCCAGAATTTAGAAAACATAAAGTGAGCGCCTAGATCTCAGAGACTAAAAGAGCAAGAGTAACCAATTTATCCACACGCCTGTGATATCAAACCTGCCCAAATATATTTAAAATTTCACCCCACCCCTCCACCCCCGCCAAGGACGAAAATCTGTGGCTTCCACAGATCTCAGAGACTGTTAAAGCTATAGCTACCAAATTTGGTATCCACACTCACACTAGATCTAACTGTTATAAGAGTATTTCGAAAATCTGCCGCACTTCCTTTCGCCCCAAAAAGGACGAAAACCTGTGGCATCCACAATTTCAAAGATACGAGAAAATTAAAAACGCACAATTATAGAGAATGACCATATCTACCAGATTGCCGAATCCTGATCAGATCGGGGCCGGACTAAAAGTGTTATTCGACCCGTGCCGAGAGTCAGCCTGGCTGGGGGCCCGGTATATAAAACTAGCCCCAGTTCTAAGTACCCCTTCTCTGCAGCTCGTGGGAAAAGAATGGAAGATTTTAAAAACAAACAAAATGAGTCTGGCACTCCCAAATGCCAACAGGGAGCAATCCCAAACAGGGGAAGGCAGCGGCCCAAAGGCCTGGCCCGACTCGCAAATCAGCAGTGAAAACCTGCGCGGCGGAAGATGCTAGGGAGAGCCCAAAGGGGTCCCATCCCGGTGTCGGGGTGGGTGGTGAATTGGCTCCCAAAACCGATACCTGCAATCCTATGCAATCCTGCGGCTGCTCCTCCTGCTGGTAAAGTGGCGGGTGATGAGTCACCATCTACTAGCGTCCAAGCCAAATCTTTTACATATGCCGATAGAAGGAGTGCTGGCAATATACTCCGTCGGCAGAACGCAAGTCAGATGTCCAGCCCGACGGACAAATGTATAAAGAAGGTTGAGTGGGCCTCGAAGGTGCTGCCGAACTTTGGCAAAGAAGCACCGAAGAAGGAAGCCCCTCAGCCAAAAAGCAGCGCTCGCAAGAGACTCCTGGGCCAACACCGAAGCGCTCCAGAGTACTGCCTAACACATCGTTTGCGCAGATTGCCAGAGAAAGGACGCTGATTGGCGTCCTGGACAAAGGCAGCGCGGACTCCCGAATCCCTAGGAACCAGTGGATAGTGGGTGGAAGCGGCACTGGCCGACAGCTGCTTCGAGCTGCTGTAAAAGCAGCCTGGACCAGGCGGTGG